GAGAATCACTCAGCGCCTAAAGTCCACAAAACCCCAAGCGGGCCTCGACCAAGATATGACAGCGTTTGAGGAACTGGCGGAAACCGACACAAGACGATAACGCCAGAGAGGCCCCAGAAGCCGAACCACCCTAGGAGGATGGACGGCCTTCCACGATCTATGAGGAATCAGAAGCGGACCTCGAGGCACATCTTCTTGAGTCGTGGTACACATAATTACATGAAGAAAGGGAACTATTGGAAGCAACTCCATTAGATGACCTTTACACTGTACTCACACGTATGATCACCAACAACAGTTTGCTGGTCACGGTAGCTGAAGAACAGCGGGGGTGCCTGCTTACGTGGGGTTACCCGCGCGACTCCGACATCGAGGAAACGTATCATGCCCCACTATGCCCGACGGTCGAAGACCATATTTCAGGATTGGGCTCGGACGAACATGGTCTATATGTATAAGGTTGCTTTGCTGCAGAAATGTCAGAGGTGGTCATATCCGAACAACAGCATACGATATTAGATATCGACCGTGCAACCACCGCGAGAGTATATGTCACCGCCGCCGCAAAACGAGCTGTGGTCGTCAAGGAAGACGACCTCCTCGCGAAAGTTGATTCAGGCGAGCCCCGACAAGGTTTCAGAAGCCCCTTATGTTGAACTCATGACATGGTTGGACAACAAGTGTTTTAAGGTGCAAGACGTATCTAAAGCATCAAACATCATGACTTCGAGGTACGCATATGAGTGGAAGTTCGTGAAGAACGAGAAGGACGAGATGGAGCGCACCATCAGACTACGCCTGGTGCTCCGGGGATTTGTGGAAGTCGAGGCTTTCGACGTGGGAATGTTCTCAGGAACAGCGCGGCGGCCGAGGCAGAGATTGCTCGCAAGCGCGGCAGCGCGCAATAAGGAATGGATCGTTGCTTCCCTTGACATTAGCACGGCTCTCCTGAAGGGGTTAACCGACCAGGAACTTGCCGAGGCAACTGGTGAGAAGGAACGCGCGGCGTGCTTCGCCCTGCCGCCTGGATCGGCAGCGGTGCTTCGATCCCTTCCGAGGTTCGAGCGCTGCGACGAGTCGAGGCATTGCCTGTGGCGCCTCAAGCCAGGCACCGGCACTAAAGATGCACCCAGCGCTTTCTCACTGAAGCTCAGAAGGACCACGAGAGGCCGCGGTCTCAGACCCACGTCCTACGACGAAGAGTTCGAGACGAGCAGTGACCTGCTCACAGCCAAACATGTCGATGATATGAATACGGCCGGCACTGAGTACACCATTGACAAGTGCGCCAAGTGCGTCGGGGGCACTTCCGGCAAGGGCGAACTCAACAAACGTACATCTACCGATTTTTCTGCGAGGCACACAAAGGATGGGGACGGCGATGTTACATTGGACCAATATGAATGCATCAAACAGCTCCGTCCTATACAACATCCTGAACAGACGGGCGCAGACGCTGACGCCAAAGCATCCCAAATGGTTGCTGAAGTGCGCCTTAATCGCACAAGTGTGGTCGATGGTATCGGTGGTCTCTCTACAACGTGTCCTAGAACCGACCCGTATACAAGCGCGACGGCTGAATGCGATCGCCGGGGAGCTTCAGGCCTGCCCTCAGGAGATCATCTATCAAACGATGATTCCAACGGCCGAAGCTGACCTGCGCAGCGACTCTGGCTGCCGACGCCTGAGAGGAGACGCCGATGACGAGGCCAAAGGCTACGGCATTCGCGGGGCAAGCCTGCTACGGCGCGGAAGCACGCCATCCGGTAAGCTCGTCGCCCACTTCATCGATGCCCACTGCAAGTCTCACCGCTTGCAGGTCCGCTCAAGCTATTCAGCATAAACGCTTGCTGCAGCCCACAACTTGGAGGACTGCTATCTGACGATCGTGACTCTGCACGAGCTCCATGCAGGTCCACTGACGCCCACTCACTTAGAACATATACTGGAGTTGGGTGGCCTGAGCATCAAGGTCATTTTGACCATAGATGCAGAGGATGTTTCAAGTTCTTGTCACGCAAAGACCTGAAGAAATCGACTGAGTGTACTCTTTTGGGACACACCAGTTGGATACGACAGATGATGGGGCGAGGAATCGCGCATAGCATTCAGTGGTGCGACGCTCACGACATGACCGCGAACGGTCACACAAAGGGGGGCATTGACAGAGATATGCTCCTACAGGTCATGGGAGGCACGCGATCCTTTAAACGTGGCTTAAAACGTCATGCTCCTTATCGGGCTGGCCAGACAACTTCGTCTGAGGCCGCCTAAGGTATGCACAGCAATGTGTTTGCAAGGTAACTTACTTGCGGGTCCACCTTCCTTTTGGGCCCGCCTTTTGCTTCCTTTATGTACGTAGCGTTTGCTGTTTAGGGGCCGCGGACTCACGCTTCGTCTCTCTCCCCCCCAACTCTAAAGTGAGCTGGGACAAGGGCGAGAGATAGCAAGCGTTTGTCCGCGGCCGTCTGTGTTCAAGCGGCCGGCCGCCAGCATATGATTGTGCCTCATTGCGAGGCATACATTTCGCCATCGAGACCGAACGCATCCTTCGCTTTAGATGGCCCGTCCCTCCCGCGACGACCTCTTACGACTGGGACTGTCGTTACTACGATACAAGAGAGCAAGAGCTGTGCTTCGCCCAAAGCGCAGCTTCTGGACGGGCCTACGGGTCTCTTTCAAACTCCGTGGCCAGTTGAGGCCGCATTGGAACAGTATCGGGTACCTTCCAAGGCATCGTGAAGGTCAGATTACGCCATGCTGGACAGAAGCAAGATTCGGGGTCTATCTAAGCTCTATGGGACCTTCTTGGAGCCACGCTGGGCGAGAAAACCTCTGACACCTCGCCGCCCCCTATCTTCCGAACCTAGGGGGAGGGAGCAGGGGGAGGGGTGAACCTCCCCCCGAAGGTGAGGAAGGGGGGAAGAAGAGGAAACGCCCCAAACCACTCACGCAGTGAGGTTTTGGTGGGATGCATAATTCCCCAGTGTGGACCTGGGGCCTACTGGATACAGGGTCACTTTACAAAGCCTTCAGACCGACGAAGAAAGCACCCCCATATGTATTCGACATGATTACTCAATCGCAAGAGTGTGGCCTCTGTTGTGCGTTAAGCTGGCGCACATCGTAAGTTCGAAAAACGAATGAGTTCGGTAGTGGGGTCACGGCTGTCGACAAGAAGGCCAGATGATTGGGGAGGTCGCCCCCAGCCAGGGCAACGACGTTGAACTGTGCGATCGTTGGGCCCGCATTTGTCTTGGTAGTGAACTTATTGCGATGGAAGCGTGGACCGCAGCAGCGCAGACATGCTCAATGTCCCGCGCGCCTTTCTAACCACTTCGCAGCCGAGTTGGGCCAATCGCAACCCGCGATGATTGTGAATGGGTAGGGATGTGACACTCCAGTGGGCGGCGGAGGTGCGGGTACCCGAGGGAATACGAGATCACCTGCGCCTCCCGGAAAAGCCCAATCCAACCCGGACAATGGAAGTAGTTGAGTCATGATATCCTCATTCGATGTTGTGCCACCCCGGACCTCGCTGTTGCCGTCGCTAATCATCGCGAGTTGTGTCTCCTCATCTTTGTTCCCCCAATTCACGGAGGACCGATCCCGCAATCATTGTTCTGGCATTTACGTGTATGCTCGTCCTAGTCTTCGCCAGGAGGAGAAGGAGGAGGCAGAGGAGGAGGAGAAAAGGGAGGACCACCGCTGTCATCGACCCCCGTCTTCGTCGCTGCCTTGCTGATGCCCCATTGTGCTGGCGGGGACGAGTATGGGGTTGTACGCAACGGGATCGTTCACGAATGAATCTTTTCAGAAGCGGCCACAGTTCAGAGGAAGGTATGGCCAACGATTGCCTCGCAGTCCTATGTTCGGTGTCTAGCTTCGTTTGTTCGTTGCTTTTGGAGCTTCGCTAGGCCAAACAAGCGACAAAGCAAAGTGTGACGCAACACAATGGCACGGCAATGACAAACCAACTCAGGTGCAAAGTTGATTGCGCCAAACGAGCACAACGCGCAAACTTAGAAGGAACAGCGAACTAAAACACAAGGCGAATGCCAAGCATGTCGAATGATAGGGAGGGGTCGGATCACAGAACGGGACACAATAGAGCAAGGCACAGCAAACCGCCGCAGAGCAAGACAACGTGATGCGCATGAAGATTAGTAAGGCAAAGCAGAACACGTCAAATTCAAGCCAAGCGAAGGACATCCTCCGCAAAGCAAGCATAAGTGAAGTAATAGACCATCAGCGTGAAGACACGTCGCCCAAAGCAAGGTGACGAAGTTTGCATCGCCAGCATTGTCAATAGTGTCGTTGGTTGTCGCATTGATGCCATATCTGCTGCACTTAACCGACTACGGGCGATAATATAGCATCCCACCCCCTTACTCCTCTGTATTTTTGATCCCCGCTCAATCGGATTTAATTGTGGAGAGGGGCGCGGAGGCCGAACTTGATAATCCACGGGGGATGTGGCGAATCGAAATGGCTATCATTTCTTGTTGATTAGCAACAGCATCAAAAACGCTGAGCATGGCCATGGTGGTCTCACCATAACAGCTTCCGCAATCACGAGCGTGTGGCAGGGCTCTGGGATTCTCACCAGTTCAGTTTGCCCAAGTCACGAACGTGCGGCAGGCAAGATGTAGCCACAAGCATCGAGATCTTTCGAGTCAGTCTTGTGCCGAGCGCCCAGGATCACCATCATCATGATCATCGTCATCATCATGATCATAACTTCTAACTAGCATCACCTTCCCCGGGAAAATCGTTGATTATCCCCGCCAGACCCCCGAACTTGATCATCTCGGGGGTATTTTTATCTCCCGCAGTCGGTTAATGGAAATCATGTTATGCTAGGCGTGGATTGGCTCGCTGCCGTAATTCAACGCGGAGGCCGGTAGACGCAATTCTTTTTGAAATCACCGCATAGATCACGATTGCGCGATCTGAGCGGGTAGCCGTAACAAATCGGGCGTTTTGATTTTCGCTGCGCATATTCCGCAAGTTTCTTTGGATTGTATGCATGATTTCGGCCAACTTGCAGCGTGAGCAGTTTGTCGTCTTCCTCAGCCAGGCGCAGTCGTTGACAACCTTCCGTTACCACGATGGTTCGAGACACCGCACGGCACCCGCGAGCGGGTCGCCAGTTCGCCCCGATGCCGACGCCCGAGGCTGCTGGCCACGTACAAGATGTGGTGCTGTCGGGGCGGCAGGCGCGTGAGCAGATCGCGGGTGTCGTGGAGACATTGGGCGGGCGGATGGGCCGGGTTTGGGCCGTTGGTGCAAATGTCGGGCACCAGGTTGGCTTTGCGTAGCATTTGCTTGCGCATGGGTTGAATCGAATGTTGCAGGGCGTCTTGGCCGTGCGAGCGTGTACCCACACAACAGATCATTATTCATTTATTTGCATCTTTAATCCATACCCTGTAACGCCCCCCACGGGAACAGAAGCCAATTGGATGTAGTTTACATTTTGAAAAGTCGTGTTGTCCCCTTATCCTCTCGCGTCTTTTCGCTGGTTGGTCTGAAAACGACCCCTAGAAGCCAAACGTGAGGAAAAACTCTCGAGCCAAAAAGCACGCCGCGTAGGATGTATCGGGCCCAGAAGTCGATGGAGGTGGCCGGAGCCCTCCAGAGGTCACCTTTGAGGCTCTCGAAAGGCTCCAGAACGCTCTCGGAAGGCCAAAGAGGTGCCAGGAGCATACGAAGACTTGATTCCTTGGTTCGGTCTTCTTCGAACCCCGTCCAGAGAACTCCGACGTGGAGTCTTTCGCAGTGTCGGCGCCCTTGTGGTCGTGATTTCGTCACGCTGTGTTATCGTAGAGGCCTCCAGCCTGTGCCGCCGATCTGGGATGCTCCGGGACGCTCCATGCGAACACGTTGTTTTGAATAGTTTGTGAACTACCTAACAGCGAAGACTGATAGGTTTCTAGTAGGCTCAAAAGAGAGCATCCTGACTCTCCAGGGGGGTCTGGGCGGATGCCGGGGAGAATCCGGGGACTCCCCGGGACTCCCCAGTCTGGGCGGGTGCCGGGGAGGATCCAGGGACTCCCCAGAACACCATTCCCAGGCCACATGTTGAATGGCCTGGAGCCAATTGTATGCCACTTCGTGTTCTTCGTGCACCATTCCCAGGCCACATTTTGAATGCCCGCAGCCAACTGTAAGGCCACTTCGTGTTCTTCGTCTTCCCATAACACCACTCCCGGGCCACATTTTGAATGCCCGGAGCCAACTGTAGGCCACTTCGTGTTCTTCGTGTTCCCAGAACAATTCCTGTACCATGTTTTGGTTGCCCGGAACCGACTGTAGGCCACTTCGTGTTCTTCGTTTTCCCAGAACACCATTCATGTACCATATTTTGATTGCCTGGAGCCAACTGTGAGCCATTTCGTGATCTTCGTGTTCCCAGAACAGCAGTCCTGTGCCATATTTTGAATGCCCGAGCTGAGGCAGGCTGAGGCCGAGGCAGGCTGAGGCTGAGGCAGGCTGAGGCTGAGGCCGAGGCAGGCCGAAGCTGAGGCTGAGGCTGAGGCTGAGGCAGGCTGAGGCTGAGGCAGGCTGAGGCTGAGGCCGAGGCAAGCTGAGGCCGAGGCAGGCTGAGGCTGAGGCAGGCTGGGACTGAGGCTGACGCAGGCTGAGGCTGATGCTGAGGCAGGCTGATGCTGAGGCAGGCTGAGGCTGAGGCAGGCTGGGACTGAGGCTGAGGCAGGCTGAGGCTGAGGCTGAGGCTGAAGCTGAGGCAGGCTGAGGGCGAGGCTGAGGCTGTGGCTGAGGCTGAGGCAAGCTGCGGCTGATGCAGGCTGAGGCTGAGCCTGATGCAGGCTGAGGCTGAGGCAGGCTGAGGCTGAGGCTGAGGCAGGCTGAGGCTGAGGCCGAGGCAGGCTGAGGCTGAGGCCGAGGCAAGCCGAGGCAGGCTGAGGCTGAGGCTGATGCTGAGGCAGGCTGAGGCTGAGACAGGCTGAGGCTGAGGCAGGCTGAGGCTGAGGCTGAGGCCGAGGCAGGCTCAGGCCGAGACAGGCTGAGGCTGAGGCTGAGGCTGAGGATGAGGATAAGGCCGAGGCAGGCCGAAGCTGAGACAAGGTGAGGCTGAACGGGGGGGGGAAGGGGGGGGGAGGAGGGGAGGCTGAGGCAGGCTGAGGCCGAGGCAGGCTGAGGCCGAGGCAGGCTGAGGCTGAGGATGAGGCCGAGGCAGGCCGGCTGAGGCTGAGGCTGAGGCTGAGGCAGGCTGAGGCTGAGGCAGGCTGAGGCTGAGGCCGAGGCAGGCTGAGGCCGAGGCAGGCTGAGGCTGAGGCTGAGGCAGGCTGAGGCTGAGGCCGAGGCAGGCTGAGGCTGAGGCTGAGGCAAGCCGAGGCAGGCTGAGGCTGAGGCTGAAACTGAGGCAGGCTGAGGCATCCGTAGGCATCCAAAGGAATCCTTAGGAATCCCTAGGAATCCTCAGGAATCCGTAGGCATCCTTAGGAATCCGTAGGCATAGTTAAGCATCCTCAGGAATCCTTAGGAATCCTTAGGATTCCCTAGGAATCCTTAAGAATCCCCAGGAATCCCTAGGAAACAGGATTCCTAAGGATTCCTAATGTTTCCTAAGGATTCCTATGGATTCCTAAGGATGCCTAAGGATGCCTTAGGAATCCTTAGGAATCCTTAGGATTCCATTGGATCCTAAGGCCGTTGCCACTGCGACTGTCATTGCGAATGCGACTGCGACTGCGAGAACAGCAGAATTCTACAACGGGATTCTCACCTGAATCTTAAGGGGAATGCTTCCAGATATGCTTATGGCACTGTCTGGGACTGGAACGAGAGCGTAGTGAGAGTAGCGAGTTGTGTTGCACCGCTGCCCATTTATGCTCAAAGTTTTTGAGGCGTCGCACCTTAGATTGTGCTCCCAGCTTCTCTCGGCGATCTCCTCCAGACTGCCGCGAGGGAGATCGGGCGTGGAGCGGTCACAGGGCTTGTGGCCAGCTGGGCTGCCACGGGCAGCAGCGGGGAGTATTGCCCGCTCCCGCAGCCGTGCCCGCCTCCGCCGACGTGTCCGAACCTGACCTTCCCGGTGCCAGAGCTGGTCTGTCCTCAGGCGCTGTGCCCAGCTTGCCCAGGGCTCAGTTGCCCAGAGGAGCCGCCGTGGGTTATCCTTGCGCTGGTGGTCGCCGCCAACGCGTTGGTCTCGGCCGTCGAGGGATCCTTGGCTGGACGGCGTGAACCCCAGCATGTCGGTGGTGCCAGCTCCTCGGCGCGGCGCCCTGCCATCAGGGGTGGGGGCGTCATTGAGAAGCCTGATGCCCGGCTCGCGGTTGCTGGTTCGCTACACTGACGCGGGTGAGGACCTGCTGCATGAGAGAGTATGCTTGTGACCCGTGAGCGACAGAGAATGGGTGACGGAGTCGCCCGACGGGGATCAGATGCCAGAGGAGCTCATCGGTGGCGACATCGAGGAGTTCATCGTGCTGTCGCCAGGCGGGTTAGTGCCTGGCCATGTGCATTCGCCACGGTACCGATTTCGTGAAGAGGTAGTCCCGAACGCTCCTAACTGATCTCGCCGCCTAGGGTGCCCGCTCTAAGCGCCCCTCCTGTCCCTGGCAGGGCATCTTGGCGCTCTTCTTCGGGTGCGACCTGCTCGTCGCCTTCTTCAACGCCTGGCCCTGCCCCCCCCCTTCCTCCTTCGCACGTGATAATTGGGCGGTTAGTCCTTCCTGATCCCGCAGGGTACACCTGCTACATCGACTGGGGCCGCGAAAACGCCCTGCGCCAGAAGACCCGGCGAAACCAGGAAGGTGGCCAAGACGGGGGGCGCGGGGGCGGCCCATCACGCAGCTCCGGGCCCACGGACCACTGGAACGGAATGCAGCGCCTCAAACGCTGACTTGTCTCGAACGCTCCTAACTGATCTTGCGGCCTTGGGCGCCCTGCCCTGACCGCCCCTCCTGTCCCTGACAAGGCCTCCTGGCGCTCTTCTTCGGGTGCGACCTTTTCGTCGCCTTCTGCAGCGCCTGGCCCTGTCTCCCCCTCCCCCCCCTCCCTCATACTCGATAATGGGGCGGTTAGTCCCCCCTGATTGCGCAGGTTCCACGTGCCTCCGGCGGCTGGTGGGGCAGCCCGGTTGCCGGCGCGGGGTCGCCCTGGCGCTGGCTGGCCCGCCTAGCTGGCCTTTCTCCTCTCTGCCCCTTTCCCCGCCCGCTACCCCCCCTCTCGCATGGCGGCCGCGCCCGGCACAGCGCGGCTTCGGCCCCGCGCCCGGCGCTCGCACGCGATGGTCCTGTTTCACCTTGCCGCCTCGGCGGCCCCGCGGTCCTGGGCGCAGCGCGGCCCCGGCCCGGCCCTGGGCTCCGTGGACAACGGCAGCGCCCTGGCACAGCGCGGCTTCGGCCCGGTCCTGCGCGCTCGCCCAGGCAGGGCAGGGCTCGTTCCACCTCCTGCTCCAGTGCACCGGCACCCTGTCGGTCGTCACAGGCGGCATCTTCCTGGCGTGTCCTGGCTGCCGTACCTCAAGTCACTGCGGCCCCCGTACCTTGGAACCGCGGCACCCTGGGCGACCGCGGCCTGGGCCACTCGCTCCTGCTACCTGTTCGATGGCACAAAGTTGCATTTCGGCTCCGCGATGCTCTCCACTCTCCCTGGCCTCTGACGCCACTTGGGTGCAAGGCGCGTCACCTCTCTCTCCGCCAACTTGAGGCTGGTGTATATGATGAGCCGTGGACGGCAGCACCAACCACAGCATTTTGCTTCTGCCGGTACTTCGCCACCGGGTTCCTGGACAGGGCGCGCCTTTGCAAACGCGTTGATTCTTTAGGCTTACGCCACACCGCCGACCGCTTGTTTTTTTGTTGAGGGAATTGGGGACGTCTTGGGGGCGTCATGGCCCGACTTTATCCCCCGCATTCCTATCGTCGTCGTCTCTGCTCCTCCTCCCAGTAGTCGGCCCATCCCGTTGACCGCTGGGAAGGATTACGTCGTTCGAGGGGATGGATGTGACAGCTGGGTGGCGTTTCCAGACGTTCCTGGCATGGGAACGACGCGCCACAGGTGGGTCCTCGTGCGAAACGAGCGCCCGCGGAACCCGAGCTTCCACGGTGCGCGGCAGCCGAAGCATAGGCCCGGTGAGGAAGACAGGAACGGGTTGATACTCATGGCGTACTTCCGCCCATTCACGTTGCAGACGTCGGCCGTGGACACAGTGTCCCGCGTGTCTGACTGGTGCGCGGACGGCCGGTCT